TTGTTCTTTAATTTTACAACTTTGTGATTTAATAAATATTTGTTAACAATGTATATATATATACATGATCGTTATTAAGAAATAAAAAAACGTGAAAACTCGTAGAAGACTGTAAGGTCTTGTCGTCGAGAACCGCTAAAAAATTTTCGTGTTAATATTTCGTATTAATAAAATATTCTCAAAATAAATAAACTTTCAATAGGAATATATACTTAACATACTTGAAGATAACAAATAATTAAGAATTAAGAATTGAAAACATAAACAAATTTAAAGAAAAAAAGAAAAAGAAAAACGGTTCCGTTATAAATACATAGATGCGTTATACAGTTTTAAGATATCTTTAGCATAATTGTTAAACTTTTTGTTAAAGGTTTTGTTATACAGTTTTAAGATACCTTCAACAAAAGTGTTAAACAACTATTTACAAATTGTTAAATTATAAAATTTATTAAAGCAGTGTTAAATATAAAGTTAAAAAAGAAACAAAAAATTAAAAGAATATAGATATATCATCTAATAAAAAAAATGACTTTTTTAAGTTTTTGTTTGAAAGAGTGATAGCTAACTTTTTGAGAAAAGTCAAAATTCTTTAAAACTATTTTATTCCAAAGTAATGCTCATCGGAATGAAATACAGTATTTTCCAGAATTAGTTTGATAAGCTGATTGACGAATATTATTATCATTTCGTAAAATGTACTTAGTTTTCTCTTTTTTGTTATACAAATTATGAAAAGGTACAGGAGAAATATTGTTTTTACATTTAAACATAAAACATATAACATTAAAAATATTAAGCTCATATATATTCAAGACTTTCATTTCAATTAATAGAGGCTTGGCATGAGTAAATCGATCCTTAAAATTAATAAGGCGTGCAACATGTTTCTGTTGACGATAAAGAGGTTCCAGTTTACTTTTATTAGTACTACCCCACGCAATGTTCGCATAGTTAATGTGACAATGAATGAGCGAATAATATAGTTTAAGTAATGTATGTTTATTTAAAAAACACCTTGCTTTGTACAAAATTCCTATGCTTTTTGTTATTTTATTACTCAAATTTTTTATGTGACTTTTCCATGACAAATTTTCATCAATATAAATACCAAGAAAGTTTGTAACTGTTACTTTTTTTAGAAGTATATTATCAATAAAAAGCAGTGGCATTTCATTTGGTATAAGATTTTTTTTGTGATTTGGATGGAAAAAAATCCATTTCGTTTTATCAATATTAAGAGACAGTTTATTTGTCTTAAACCAATCAGAAACTCTTACTAGTTCATTATTGATATTCTGAAATAACAATGTAATATCATTATGAGATAAAAATAAGTTCGTGTCATCTGCAAACATAATCGTCATTAAATTTGAGGCTTTATGGAGATCGTTGATGTAAATAAGAAAAAGAAGAGGCCCTAGTATTGATCCCTGAGGAACTCCACAGGTTATATCAAGCAAGTTTACTGGTGAAACTACATCAACGTATACAAATTGCTTTCGATTATTTAAATAGCTTTTTAACCAATTTAAAACACTTCCGTTTATACCGTAAATCTTTAGTTTATTTAAAAGAATACCGTGGTCTATTGTATCGAAAGCTTTAGCTAAGTCAATATAAACCCCAACTGTATATTGGGAGTTTTCAAAAGAGTTAGTAATACTTCTTGTAAACTGGAGAACTGCGTGTTCTGTCGAGTTATTTTTTTTGAATCCATATTGATTGCTATATATTAAATTGTTTACAGATAAATGATTATAAATTCTGTTGTATAAAGTTCTCTCCAAGACTTTTGAAAATGCAGATAGAATAGAAATGGGACGATAGTTGCTAACATTAGTTAAACCACCTCCCTTAAATATCGGAATCACCTTTGCTATTTTTAGTTGGTTAGGAAAAATTCCATGCCTAATAGAACAAGAAAAAATCTTAAAAAGTACATCTTTAATGATTTCATATGATTTAATAACAATATTTACATTGATATCATCCGCACCTGCTGATTTGTTGGGTTTTAGCATTTTAAAAGCGCATTCAAACTCTTCAAAAGTTAGTTCAAACGAATTAAATTGCGATGTATTAGGGATAAACAGATTACTTATTGGATTAATTGCTTGAGGAATTTTTTGGGATAAATTTGGTCCAACAGAAACAAAATCTCTTCTTTATCATACAAAAATTTATTATTTGATTTGATGGTTTTAGGCAATGTGCGCTTAGAATTTAATTTATATTTCTCAAGTAAATCATTGTAATAATTTTTTTAAAGATTTTTTCTTTGACGTTCGAATTGTTTGGCGTAACTTTTATATATAGCTTTACTTTTATCTGTTTTTAGTTTTAGGAATTTAATGTACAATTTTTGTTTGATTTTGGATGATTTTCTTAACCCTTTAGTAATCCATGGGGATTTTATACTTTTTAATTTACAATGTATTTTGATTTTTGGAAAATTAACATCATATATATCTAAAAAAGTTTTAAAAAATTTGTTGTAAGCCAGGTTAGCATCATCTAAATTGGAAATTTGCCCCCAATGAAGAAGAGACAATTGCTCTTTAAATGTTTCCAAATTCTTTTCATTAAAAATACGTTTAACAAAAGTTTGATTTATATTTGGTGACGTTTCCATTTTAGTATTAATGGAAAAGAAAACAGGAAAGTGATCAGAAATGTCACTTTTAATTATGGCTTTTTTAAGAGATTCGTTAAATAAATCAGTTGTTATTATATTATCAATCAGGGAAGATGTTGATTGAGTTATTCTGGTTGGTTTGGTGATTAGTGGAACCGCACCATTTTCAAAAATGTCATTATAAAAACTTTTAATATTGGGTTTTACGTGATATTCGAAGCAACATAAATTTAAATCACCTATTAGGTAGTTAAATTTCTTTTCATGATTGGTTTTTTTAATTATATCATGATGTAAATATGAACTAAAACTTTCAATTACACCAGATGGTGGGCGATAACAACAACTAATTATAATATTTTTAGCTTTTTTAATAATTAATTCAATTGATAAAACCTCTTAATTGCTATCAGAGATACTCATGTCAAGCCTGGTTAACAATTTCAAGCGTTCCTATACGTAAATAATCACGCCGCCACCACGTTTATTGGTTTTACGCGCTAATGAAATCAATTTATATCCAGGCAAGTTAAAATTAGAAATAAAATAAACGTCATCAGAATCACACCAAGTTTCTGTTAAGCAAATTACGCTAAAAATGTTAAAAGTTTCATCAATTAAATTACGAAAATTTTCAAAGTTTTTTTTCAAACTTCTTATATTTATATGAATCACATTCAACTTATCCGGTTCAAGAAATTTTTCTAATTCTTGGACATACAAATAACTGCACTTGTTTTTTAAAGCACCAGCTCCACTAAAATAATTTAGGTCAGGGTCATTATTGCTGTCCAGTAAAAAATCATTAGTTTGAAATAAGTTAATTAAAGTTGATTGAAAATCAACAGATTCGTTTGAATCCATTTTAGTTATTTGAAATCCAAAAATAAAAAAAATTAATTCTTTTAAAATTCGAGTGTAACTAATTTATTGTATACTACTTTAGCATACTTACCGGTGGCTCGAATATCTTTAACTTTTGCAAAAAGAAGTTTCCGTTTATCTCTTGTTCTTTCGCTAAAATCTTCATTCAAGAATATTTTTTCGTTCCATAATTTGAGTAATCGGTATTCTTTTAAAACGTTTTCTTTGTCTTTATAGTATAAAAATTTTGCAATAATAGTTCTTCGTTTTTTCATTTCAACTTCATTCTTTTTTCCTGTTCTGTGAGCCCTCTCGATATATACTTCGTTCGTCATGCCAAGCTTTTCTTTTAAGAAAACTTTAACTTTAAGTTCGCTTTCCTCCCACGTTTCATTTTCCTTCTCTTCAAAGCCATCAAATCGTATATTATTTCTTCTGCTTCTGTCTTAAATTTCCGCAAGTTTATCTTTAAATTCTTTATTATTTAAAGCTTTTTCATTTACTTTCGTGTTGTGTTTAAGATGTTCTTTAAAGTCGTATAATTCTTTAGTCTCTTTTTCATACATTTCATTTTGAAAAGTCATTGCACTTTTAATATCTGCTATTTCCTTTTTTAAAATTAAATTTTCGCTTTTAAGTACTTCCATTTTTTCCTCCATCCTGTTAACTTTTTCGCCAAAGATTTTTAATATTGTGTTCTCGTGCACTTCAAGTAATTCTTTAATTTGAGTAAATGATAATCCTTTAGACATTTTTTTTTTTTTTTTTTTAAAAAAAAATATTTTAAAACACGTCCGTTCGCGGTGAGTTGATGAGTTGATATATATATATATATATTTATATATATATATATATATATATATATATATATATATATATATATATATATATATATATATATATATATATATATATATATATATATATATATATATATATATATATATATATATATATATATATATATATATATATATATATAAATATATATATATATATATATATATATATATATTGATAATATATGATTATTTTTAACCTAGCACCCCTTAAAAATATTTTCCGCAACGGTTTTGGCTGGTGTTTTCACTTGTTTTAAAAGTTTTCATTTGTGCGCCCCTTCTGATTCTGCGCCCAGGTAAAAAGTACCCAGTGACCCTCCCCACGCGGCGGCCCTGCAAGTGTACAATACTTAGATTTGTGACGGGATAGCTCAGTTGATTATGAGCGTTGAGCGAATGTTTATCCCCGGAGTCGTTCAAAAGAAGCTCATATCCGGTTTTCTCCAGCACCTGCCTGACATTATGACTCCAAATAATTCTATAATGGATACTTCTTTAGGTTAGTCGTAAACTATAAACAACCGCTCTTTATATTTCTGAGCATATTAAGTATTGTAAAATAAAATACATAGGATTAAAAATTCAAGTAAAAACAAATTTTCAAAAACCGGAAAATTTGTGTAAACCGAATGTTTTTTCCTTCCGGATTAAACTAAAATTGAAAAAACTGTTTTTCCTAAAAGAGCAGTTAAATAGTTTATTAATATAAGTTGTTTTTTTTTTTAAATCTATATATCTCACTCGTTTGTGGAAAAGGCAGTAAATAAAAAGCGGAAATAGAACTGCATATAAAATGGTTGGAAACAATGATCTCTTACCTAAAAAAAAAAAGAATAAAGAAGCTAAACTTAAAAAATCTGAGAGCGAGGAAGAGATAGAGGAGAAGTACTATGATGATTTTGACAGTAGCAGTTTTGTTGATGAAAGCGAAGAAGAAAATGAAAATATTGATGTGGACGAAAATATTATAGAACAGGTAAATTTTTAAATAACTCTTAAAATAATATTAGCTATAATAATAGCAACAATAATGATAACAGTAAAATTCAAAGAAAAAAGCTTTTCATCTATTTCAAATATTTTCATCTATTTCAAATATAAAGATTGATTTCATTCAAATCTTTTCTGTAATAACAACAAAAGCTGATATAATTTTGATATATTTACTATTAATACATCAAATTTTTTTTATAAATGTTTATAAAGTAATATGACTAGAGCTAAATTGCAAAATGTAAAGCACTCTAACGTAAACAAATCTAAATTAAAAAAAAAAAGGTATTAAAAAGAAATAATTTTTATGTAAACTTTTTTTTTATCTATAAATTAATTTTTATTTAAAATAAAATTGATTAGGTTTTGCTTTTATCTCATTTTAAATTAAAAGTAAACAAGGCATTCAGTATACTGTAATAAATCAATAAAAAGTTCTGCTATTTTCCTGTTAATTGTTAACAACAAATAAAATATTTAGGTTACTGAGCTTTGTTCAGGCATGAGAGATTTGGGAATTGGGAAAACAAAATAGCTACATAAAATTATTGAATAATAGACTTTAAGCATGTTTAAAAAAATAAAAAAATTTGTATTGCAAATTATCTTTATTATTTAATACGAACATAACTACTAATCAATTACATTATGTCAAATAAACTTTTTTTTTGTTGTTCACCTCTCAAGGCTGAGAGAACTGCTAAAGTCAAAAAGGCTACTTTATTGTGGTTACAACCCTCTCTCAACTCTTTAACTCCAAAACATGTACCTTGACGAACAAGGCCACTGCGCAAAGAAACAATTTGAACAAGACTACCAGGATTGTGGTGGGGAAAAAGCTTAAAACTTTCCACTTGAGAAGCAAGCACTCTACCACTATCTTGAGTTGTTAGAATATTATTAATATAAAAATAATAGTAATTACAGCTTTATTCTAGAGAATGAAATGATGTAACATCTGCAGATTATAATTTATATGTTTGTTGATAAAGTATCTATTTGGTTCTAATTTAATATATTAATATTCTCATTAGAATATTGTTTGTGTTTGTTTTTATGTTTTGATAGTTTTAAAATATAGTATTTTAAAAATATGATTGAATCATATTAGTTTATTTAATGTAATCTTTTTGAAAATATCTTGTATTTTAAGTTGTGCTTTACAAAATAATATTTTTAAGTTTAATTTATTTTTAGATTGAACTGCCTGATAATATTAGGAGATTTAAACCACCATCTCTAAAAGAAAAAAAATCTGTTCATTTTGATTGCAGTGATGAAGAAGGAGAAGATGATGAGCAGGAAGATAATTTAATAGATGAGAAGAGCAGTCATAAAGCTGAAAATCTGTCAAAAAAGCGTTTGGTGGCTGTTTTTATGCTGTTCCCAATTTTTTTCGGTGGCATTGTTATGATTTTTGAAATGTTTGGAAAGTTTAAATGGGAAAAAACCACCATGCAGTTTAGTGCTCTAGCTTTTGGTGCTGTGATAGCCTTATTTTTTCTTGCTCGTGTACCTTTGTATCGTTCTTTATTAAAACTAGTATTATGCTTTGCATGGGTTATTTTTTTATTACCAACTTACCAGGTCTATAAATGTTCCCCTATTGAACTAAAAAATGATATGATTGGTACTTGGTTCAGTGTTAAAACAGAAGCATTTTCATTTTTAGAGAGTACCTATACAACAAGCAATTGTTTTAAATCTTTGACACTGCATGCACCTTATACATTGTCATTTATGTCTCCTAAAGTAGTTTTAAAAGTCGAAATAGATGATTTGATTAGTCTGAAAAACGAAACTTCTACTGAAAATGAAGAAACAGAAGTACATTACTTTTTACTGGTTTCTAAGAGAAGCGTAAAGCAGCGGTTTCACAAAATCTATATGCTTGCTGTTGCAACTTCAAAAGATGCAAATTTATTAGAAAATTCTCTTATTCTTAGCACAGAGGAAAAGCGAAAAAATGTTCTTATGGTGTCAGGATCAATATTAAATATAGATCAAATAGATTTACCATTGAAAGAGGAGTTAGAAACTTTGAAGTATTTAGTTAGACCCATCAAGTTTCAAATTGAGACAGTAAAATATGCAAGTCGATATTCAAAGGTTCATTAAATGGAATGAACATTAATTAAAATAAACATAAAATATTTTTTTAAATGAAATTATTTAGTTTTAAATTTTGTAGCTAGGAAAAAAAATATTATGTTTGCATAAGCTTTTCTGGTTATAGAATTTATATTAAAATTTAAATTTTAAACTGTGGAATAAATTTTAATAATTTCTAAAAAAGTCAAAAAACTTGGAATAAATTATAATAAAAGATCAATAAAAAATATAAAAAGGTCGCCAATTGTTAATATATTTATTTGTCATAATTGATAACTTGATTAATAGTTGAATGCTCATCAAACTGAAACAGTCCTTTAAGTACCAACATATTCTGCAATGGTTGTTTTTAGGACAATGCTTTTTTTCGAGTGCAGAATTTTTACTGGATGTATTTAACTCTATTTGTCTACTTTAATGGTAATTCTTTATTTTGCTTTAATGATTTTTTTACTTGAGTGTATACCATGCCCGTATATAACAGGAGGAGGGGGTCGTCGGGTTCGATCGACCCCCTTTTTTTAACTAATTCTTTTTGTTTCACGCAAGTTTTATACAAAGCCGTACTGTAAAATTTTGTACGAAAAATATTCACGGTACAGGCGTGTATAACACTGCACATAAAAAAGAAAAGATATCTGTTGATTACTGTAGATTGTTTTAGATGTAAATACCGCTAATTAATGTCTCGAAAAGTCGATTATGTTTGTTTTTTTTTACTTGAAAAATATTATTTTTGAATTTTAAAAACTAGACAATGTCGACTTTTTACATACTTTTAAATAATATACTTATTCATTACATACTTTTACATACTTTTAAATAATATACTTATTCATTAAATTTTAATTAATAATTTTAGGTTTTCATTTATTATTTAATGTATTTATTATACTAGGTTATTACCTGATTTGATTTTTATAGTGTTTCTTAACAAAAAAGTTGCTATTTTTAAATTCATTGATTACTCTTTTATTATTAATATTATTACTTTTATTGTTTTTATTTTATATATATATATATATATATATATATATATATATATATATATATATATATATATATATATATATATATATATATATATATATATATATATATATATATATATATATATATATATATATATATATATATATATATATATATATATATATATATATATATATATATATATATATATATATATATATTATATATATATATATTATAAACTAATATTTATAATTTGTTAGTTTTATCAGTTTTTCATAAAATTAGAATTTCATAAAATACTAATGTAAAAAAACTTTAGTTATCAACTTAATAATTAACATATTTATAACAAATCAAAAAAGATTTTTAGAGAGTGTTTAGTGCATTACACCTTGAAAAACCTAGCCAATTGTCGTAAAGAGTTGTCGTCTTTCAGTTCTTTTCATTGTCGAGGTCGCCAAGTCCAAAAGAATCATTCAAAATAAATTCATTGAATTTTGACTTTAATAAAGAATCGCAGTTTAAAATGACAATATTAAATAATTTTATATTGAATTTTAGATTAAATTTGTTCGGTTCTAATTCTACTGATTATTTCATTAGTTTCACATTTTAAGATGAACATTTTAAATTTCTAATAAAAACATGCTAAAATGCTTTCCTTATTTTGCATTCGCAAAGGTCGTGTACAAGCGTTATGTACCTTGTACCGAAAAATAGCTTAATGTCAACAGAAAAAAAAAATTATTATTTATAAATTAATATAATACACTTTTACGAACACTTTTCAAATTCGAATTAAGTACGATCTATTTTTGTTTTTTTGTTTTTTATAGAAAAATAGTTAAAAGAAAGAATTCAAACCATGATAAGAAAACGTGTGCATTAATTCTTTTTAAGTTTATTTAGGGTAATTCAACGTGTTGTTAACAAGTCAAACTGCAAAAGTTTGACTTGTTATCAACACACATTGGTAACAAAACATTTAGACCAGCAGAAAGCAGTTTCTTGAACACAGTGTAGTTGAGTGTGTTAGAAGTTTAATTTGTTCAAGCTCAAGTTAGGAACGTCTCTCTATTAAAAACCAGTTATCGATTACTTGATCAAGAACCAAGTCCAATATTTCAAAAAAAAGTCAATAAAACTGTAAATTTGTCAAAACTTTGTCCAATTTAAATTTAATTAGTGAGCAGAAAATATCAAAAAGTTCTTGTTAGAAACGTACTACGAACGTGTACTACTTTATCAAAATTTTATTTCAAGCTTATAAAGAGGTTTCCCCGCCCCCCTTTTTTTTTTCTTTTTTTTTTTTTATATATAGAGGATTTTTTTCAGAAATTATTTTCATTGTAATGTTTAATCTGTCAACAAAATTCAGTATTGTTGACAACTGTGTATTGGTTTTTTTTTTTTTTTTCACAACAACATTACATCTCATTAAAATAAAAAATTGCGAACTAAAAAATTGTTTTTTGCGGGGAAATGTGGTTAAATTTTTTAATTAAAAAAAGTCCTTGGGAAAGTCACCTAATTTTCGTGAAAGTTTATGGTTTTTTAAAAATCACTTGCACCAAATGGTTTAAACGTTCGTAAAAAATGTTATTATAATGTTGAAGACAAAAAAAGTTCGGGGAGGCCACAAAAGTTTAAAGATGAGCAATCGGAAGTCTTTCTTGACTTGTTATAAAACGTAAGAAGAACTTGCGAAATTGTTTAGATGAATACAAAACTTCAAATCAAAATTTAAGCAATTACTTTCGTTAAATGAAAATGAATTAAATTTCTTCTAATAAAGCTTCTTTATATTAGAAATCTATAATAATAGTTAATTAATTAATTACTATAGATCATTAATACATAATTAATCAACATATGACATATATTTTATTATTTTAAATAATAATCTTCTATTTGAGTAATTTATTTTTATTTTTTTATTTTTTATTAATCCTTTCCTTTTCTCTTTTACTGTTTATTTGCTTTTACTGAATTGGTAATAAAAAGTATTATAAATTTAACTAAATAAATTAAACTATGAATTGCTCTAACAATAATATATGTTTTATATAAAATCATATCTTATTTTTTTAAAACAACTCTTAAATGTCTTTTTTTTCATTTTAATATTTTATTAAATTTTGTTTCTTTTATTTTACAAAACAATTCTTAAATCCTTATTCTTTGAAAAACTATAAATTTTAAACGCTAAGTGATATATTTACATTTTCTTTTATGTTATTAATTTAGAGATATATACATTGAAACTATATTTTATTGTTAAACTATATTTATCTAGTAATGACGCATTTTTTGGGGCTTGTTGATAAGACTAAACTTGGCTTCTTCTAGCCCCGGTCGTGTAATTATTTTTTAAAAGTTTCGACTGTAATTTTTTTTTTTTGGCAAAAGTGTAAATAAATAAATAAAACACAGCAAGCCGTTTCCGTGCGTTTAGAAGCAGCATAACTCATTAAAAAATAAAGAAATCCGTTTCCGCATGAACTTATACCGCGAGGCACTGATAAACAATTTCGCATATCAAAAAAAGTATTTAAATGCTGAAAAAAGTATTTTTTCGAAACAGTACACCAGGAATATCGCACGACGCCAAGTTGATGCTTGGTTGGTATTTGGTTGGATCAGAAGGGTGTGTTGTACAATGAGCTGTTAAAATTGGACTAGACGATCGCAGTGGATCTCTAACGAACACAAATGATACGTTTGAGAGAAAAAACAACTAAAATATGCAACCAGACACGAGAACATAATTTTCCGTAACAATAACCATTGGCCACAAGTTGCAAGATAGGGTTACAAACAATTTGTAAAATAATGGGAGAGAAATTTGGTAATACTCGCCATTTGTTTCGATTAATGCAGAATGCGCTCACTTAAATACGCCTTTTACTTAAAACAGGGTATCTGAAATCGGCCTAATTTGTTTTTGGCTTCGAAAAACGCAATATTTTTGGCACGAAATCTACAAATTACCAGAAATATGAAAAAATGTTTTAACTTTAGATGGGTAATACATTAATTTATTTTTAAATAAATACATATTTTTTTGTTACCATAACAATTCTTTACATTACGTAGAATATAAATAAAAGATTAACGGAAGAACTTCAAGAAGATCATATAGATCTAATCACTTTACAATTTATAGTTTGAACAGTATTTAAATAGTATAGTTTTACAATTTTCGTGAAGTTATATATATTACAGTTAAATAGATTAACAAATTTAAAATAAAATTAATAATATTTAATCTTTAGAGGTAGATAAAGATGTTTTCTAGTGAAAAAATAATTTCTTTCTACTTTTGTTAAAAATAATTGTAAGTCAAATTAATTGAAAAATCGATATTTCAGTGTATCTATTTTATTCCATAAATATGGACCATATTTATGGAGTAAAATAGCTACACTGAAATAGAAAAGAAATACAAAATTGATTATGTTTATTTCGACAAAATGGAGGATTGAGATAATTATCAGTACGCAAATTTATTTTTGGGTTTTGAAACACAAAGATTTTGGAATACACAAGGAGATAATTTTTCTTTACATTTGAACATAAAATGTTATAAACGTTTAGTTGGTAAATATTTAAGACTTTCATTTCTTTCAGAAGCGGCTTGGAATGCGTAATATATATATATATATATATATATATATATATATATATATATATATATATATATATATATATATATATATATATATATATATATATACATATATATATATATATATATATATATATATATATATATATATATATATATATATATATATATATATATATATATATATACCTTTTATAAGTTATCGGTGCAGTATTGAAGTTTAAAGCTTGTTGGGTAGCATTAAATTCGATAAATTGTAGATAAGCTTTCGACATAATAACCATAATGGACAAACCAATTGGACCAGAATTTTTAAAGATATGTATTTTGTCGTCCCATAAAAAATAATATTTACTTAAACAAAGTTCAATAAACTTGTGAATATCTACTAATGACAATTTAGTTCGCATCTTAAGATTATCTTTATCTTTACTTAGAATATCAATTATATCAATTATTGCTTTGATTAGTGGAATTAATGGATATAAATCAGTAATATCAAACGAAACTTGAATTTTATTTATATCAATAAACCATTCTTTAGCCTCAGATACGAATAAAAAATAATTTTTAACCCTACATTCGTTTTTGTTAAGTGTAGGTTGCATTATTTCAACAAGATGTTGCGAAAGTTAATGAGCTGGTGTACCAATAGTTGAAACTATAGTTCGCATAGGGTAACCTTTATCACTTTTATGTGCTTTAATGCATCCATATACAGTATTGAACAAAACATTTGCAACCATCATCGAACAATGCTAAAAAGTGTTCCTAATTTTACATGTCTTAAAAACGAAACGATCTATACTACCACAGCAAACAGTTCAGGAGTCTGGAGTCATAGTATGCCATGACATGAGCAATCAGCCGACAGGTGACAGCACACAGGCAGAATTTCGTTGACAAATGCCATTTTGCAGCGGATAAAACAAGTGCAACTTTTTCTGTTTGTTTCATTTTCTTAAGTCTGGTCCGTGTCAAAGTCACGGAAGATTTTTAATAATTAAAGGAAGTATCCAGAAGTTTCCAGAGGCATGCAGAAGCTTCCAGAAGTTTCCAGAAGAAGCATCTGAAGCATCCAAAAGCATCCAGAAACA